TAGTTAGCAAATGTCTTGTGAAAAGCAAGCATGCAAGAATGATTGGTGCAAGGGCACAACATGACATACACCAACCATATCCATGTGCTTGCCTGTGCCCCATCATGAAGCATGATATGTTCCCCCCCCCCCCCTCTCTCTCTCATGAAGCATGACATCTTTTCTCACTCTCTCTCTCTTCCCCCACAAGGCCACCAACATCATCACATTGTTATGTCTCTAGTGATTTCTAGTCCAACATTGCCTACATGACACGTGTCCAATCCAATGTTTCTTAATGTGGTCTTGCATTATTATTATTGTTTTTGATGAATAGTGTAGATGCACTGTTTGCCCTTTGGTGACCTTATAATACCTACCACAATAATGCCCTTCATTAGGTTTTACTTCAAGGCTAGAACCTTGAGATTTTTCTTTTTGCATCATCTCATAACATTTGCCGAATTTTTTTCAATAATAACCCTATGGTATGATTGATTGAGTTTAGACAACCCCATTTTCAATGCCCAAAGCTCAGCTTTATTATTTCACAAGAGTGCATCCTCCCAAAATAAGAACACAGCGTAGTCTCATGGTTGTCTCGGAGGAGTCCCCTAAAGTCAGAGAGTTGTCCCTTACCACTGCCATCAAAGTTGAGTTTAACTCAACCGTCAGGTGGCTTAGTCTGGACCCGGCAAATAGTGGGTTCCTTGTAAATGTTCTTTGTGTAAATAATTTGAGTTTTACTACAAGTACCCCCTAGTCATATGATAAAAAAAAGAGTAGAACCAAACTATTTGAAAAGTTTAATGATTAATTAATAGGAGAGAATTGACAGATTGAACACTTCTGGCAAATCATTTCAAATAATGTGTTATGGTATGTAATATGTGGGGCACATGGGTGGGGAAAAAAAAGTGAGGTCACAATTTAGTTGAAGTCATAATAATAATAATAAATACATACTCCACTTGACTGGAGGGGTACACATGGGGCCAGTTCTATCCAAAGTAAAAAACCTTTTTTTTATTCAATTTAAGTTTGCCTAGGAAATGCAGGTTAGTTGTGCAATTTGCCTTCCAGCTACAATACAAGCATGTATCAAGTCTAAAACAAGCTTTCCTGAAGAAATGGAGAGAGAGAGAGAGAGTAATTTGATCATATGATGCATTGGATTGATTTTGTTTATTTACATAAAATATACAGTATGTTAAGACAAAACTGGATTTTTTTTTTGTGGAACTTGAAGTATTTAAGGAAAAATTCTACACAAGTACCATTAACCTACCCTTTTAGAGAAAAGTATAAGAGGTAAGCATGAAAGAGGATTAAAAAAACTGGCCATCACTCATGCATCCCTTAATAACTAGCTACTCTTTTTCACACCTTAAAATGTATTTATGGTATAAAAAACCAGTAATTCTACTCCCAACTAAATTTAGCTCCCTAGTTGCTGGTCTTGAAACATGAAACATGAGGAACATGTGCCTCTCTAGTTGCAGGTCTTGCATCATAGAATATGAGGCACATGATGCTCTTCAATGGAATGTCAGAGAAACTCTCATTGCCCATGGATTTCCTGACAGCCTACAACCTTAAATGGGAAGATATCATGTTCTTGGCACAGAAGAAAAACTAGAGAGCAGGTGGTCCAAAAAGTCATGGCTTCAGTACTGTATGTGAAGCTTCCTTCTTTAAAGCTGTCTTTTTTCACACTCTTGTCTAGCTGGTTACACATCCAATGGTGCTTGATACTGTTAGGCTATCATTCTAGGGGATGGTTCTTTGTTGATGTCTTCTTCAAAAATTCCCCCTTTTTTGTCTTTGTAATTAAATCCTATTAAATCCACCAGTTCTTTTAAGCATAAATGTTTGGTAATGCATCTCAAACTGCATGCATGGTGAGGATTACCAATGGATATCATAAAGGAAATTTTTTTGTAAACATTTATTAATTATTGATTGTCAATTTATGTGATGATTTGAGGTTGCAAAAATCTGCTTGCAGTTTTTCAAGCATTATAAAAATAAAAGCATGGATAAAAAGGAGATAATTAAAGGAAAACAATGGAGTTGGAGTAGAAATCAATAACATGTGTGCAAGATAAAGAATTCTACTTGATTTTTAATAAGAGGTCAAGGTTTTTCTGGTCATGAGGTGATGATGATTTAGATTAATGTAGAGGTAATTCTTTTCAAAATCTTAAGAAGTACACACATAAATACTCATTCCCCAAATCCAACTCCAAACAAAGTATATGAACACTTTTTACACATTATTTCTTTAATTAGTTGACCTAGTCATTACGTACCATTAAGAGGACCAAAATATTTTTTAATACTAAATTAGTGGGAAGAATACTGAAACAACATGCTTCTTTCAGCCACTTTGCTTTCAGTCCTCAATGTCACTTTCCACCGGCTTGAAACCACGAATTCGAAAACCGATTTCCTTTACAGCCAAGTGGTCCTTCACCCACCATTGCTTGCAAGGATCGCATCCTTGAATTGCAAATAGTCCCATGGTAGACTACAGATTCCCAGGATTCCAATACATGCATTCCCATTCACTACATTGGACAAAGAAAAATGTTTTGGTAAGGCTGCAGTCCTACCTCAATAAGTAGGGTTGCCCATCTCTCTCTATCTCTCTCACACACACATGCATGTACACCACTCTCCACCACCCACACTGTTTGGGAATTTTTCTTTCCGGGATTAGAACCCAGACTTTACTTTGAATCCACTGAATTTACTTTATGCCGAAGTCTAATTCGACAGTCCGTTGGGTATTTAGTTATTCAGTATGGGTTCGATTTCAGTAGATAATAGGCTAAAATTTGTGCAAATAAATCGGTTTCTCTGTTCGAGCTTCTTTATGGCGACAAAAGTGCTAGGAGAAGCAGTCAATATGAAAGTAGAAGAATGGTTAATAGAATGATTTATAAGATGCTATAAGTCCATTTAATGTGGCGAAATCAGTGATTCAGTTCAAAGCAGAAGCCACTGATACTGTTGACCTTAAGACTGCTTCATCTTTTACATTTTCCAGGCCAACAGGCCAAGAAAATAGTTCATCGCTTGCGTTTTCTTAACTATTTCATGTTTGTGTCAAACATATGCATTGCACATGAACATTGAGATACAAATGCACACCGTTTTGTGAGACCAGCTGATGGCTTGACAGATTTTAATGATTTTGTGATTAAGGAAAAGAATAAGCGAAAAAATTAATGGTCCACGAGACCATTGCAGTTCTAAAAGAAATTCGGGAAAATATGATTAAAACAATCAAACCTGCTCAATAGATCATTGAGGTGGTTGATTCAACCAATTTATCGACAAAGTGGTCACTTTAGATTGCTCGAGGATTCCTCCTCATCCATGATTTCATCTTAGCGATTAGTTCATAATTAGGAAAAGTATACAAAAAGACCATTTAGTTTTAGTGCAAGGAGGTTAGAACTGTACATCAAATTTCAACATGTGGATGCCAAAATGAAACAACTGTTCATTTGCAAATAAAGCCGCAAAAATCAAATGAAAAACGCCTCCCTGCCTCTCTTTTTTCAATCTACAAAATTACTCATCGTCCATAAGGACTCAACATTCAACATGCCCACCCCTCAAAATAACATCTCTCCCTCTACAATCATGGCTGACAATGAAACCCACCTTCCCAAGCAAGAAAAGCCCACCTATATTCCAGCAAAGTGCAGAGAGCCATTAAATCTGAGGTGACATTTAGCAGTTTTAGAGAGATATGAAACCAGAGAAGAGAAACCACAATTTTGATCTTAGAAAATGGAATAAAAAGGCATTAAATGTCGAGGTGAAAAATAGCAACTAATGGGTTGTTTTCTACTTCTCTGCGTCCATCAAACCAGCAACTTGCACCAAAGCATTCGGGGATAATTAACAAATGTGTATCCCATTTCCTATGTGCTCATAATTGACTGTCTGGCCGCAAATATGGTGAACATCGCTCACTTTGAGAATGACAAGATTCTCAGTATGGGTGCATATGATGAAGAATATTCAGAGACCAAATATTATGAGAATAGAGTTCATGAGAAAGTTCAATTTGCCCCAAAAAATGCCAATGTTGAGGCCATCTCAATTGCCTGTCCATATGGGGTTCTCACCATGACTGTGCATACCACCCCGCAAGTCCAAGAGGACCAAGTCCATTCATTCAGGTCAACGTTGCTTGGGTTTTAGAGAGAAGAGGACTGGGGGGTCCGAGAGAGAATGGGTTCTTGGGTTTTTATGCTCTTAATCTTTTGTTGGTGCCTGCCTTGCATGCTTTGCTTGTAGGGCTGAGCATGTATCTATCTCTGTGATCCAGGTTTCTTTTTTGGGTTAGGCTTCAGGAGTAACCTCAACATTGCAGCTCCCAAGCCAGGATGAAAAAGGAAGGGTCATGATAGGTTGGTACTCAGCCCAAACGTTTGCCACATCTGAACAAGATTCGTGCGAACGTGAAGATAGTTTGCACCTATGCAACACCGTTCTTCTCATTCTCCCTTCTTTTTTTCTTTTCTTTTTTTCTTTGAGCTTCTTATAGGTTCAGTTTTCTGGACCGTCCCAGTGTTTGTCTAAGCCATATGAGCTCCGATATTCCCTACAAATTTTGTAATCTCTTTATCTTTCTTCTCCTCCTCTATGCCTTAATATCATTACCAGTTTCAAATTCTTGGAACTTTGGGCATTCTTCCCTACAATGACTTCTTCTTGCAGCAATTTTGCTTTTTGGGCCCAAAAGAACCGGTGGGTTTCTTATCTTGATCCTATGCTAAAATCTGTTACCCCCCAAACCTCCTCTCATTTCACTGAAGCAGTGGCCATTTTTAAAGCATACTCAAGCTTCAACTTTTGGATAAGAAATTTAATGGACGATTGAGTTGTAGTGGGCGGGTGAGAATTAGAGTTCTGGATAGAAGGACCATAGAGTTAAGCAGAAGACAAGGAATTGGGGCAAATTGCAACCAAACTAACCCCAAAACACAAGACCAAGAACATTGCCTTGAGAAAAACTTGCAAAAATGAATTAAATTTTTTTTTTACAAATGTATCATGCTTGCGAGCTCCAAATCACTCATTTGCTCGGTATGCAACTTTAAAAAGATAATTTAATGGAATTTAGAACCTTATCAAAGTAAATATATCTCACTGAATTGCCCAAAACTTCTTTTGGCAAATTAGTACAAGTTCTCTCTGGTTCTTCTCATCCACCAAATTATGCAATTTGGTATTCCAAAGGAATTTAGGTGCAAGATCACGAATGCTTGAAATTATGGGTGGCTCATCCCTAATGATAACAAATCCCTGCAGAATGAATTTGTAATACAGATTAGAGCAACAAAGCCTCAGAAAATAAGATGAGCAAATAAAATTGGTTTCCCAATGGGTCAACTTTCTGGAATCAATAATAGAATGTACAATTGTTGTTCACTTCCATGAAGATTTCCTCTTTTTTTTTTTTGGTTGTTCAGTAGTAGGAATGGAACTTGAGAACCATGAAGAAATTAGTCAAAGAAGAAAATAGGATCCGTGCAACCAATATTCAGTTCAGATGCAGTCAAAATTATAAAGCGAGATAGCGAGATCAGAGTTGGAATGAAAATGAGTAATATCAAAACATTACTAAGACAAACTGCAAAAACCATAAAAGGTTTTACACTACCCAACATCAATGCCACCTCGGTGATTACAGGTCAACTTGCTACTTTATCCACTAAACATTACTTTATCCACTAAACATATGCATCTAGAAAAGGACAACATAAATCCAACCCTTAGTTACATCAGTGGGAAATATCACTAAGTGGCATTTGATCCACATAGGTATGTGATTTTCTTGGCTTCTCTTCTAACATGCTTTCCTGTTCTTTTGGTTTTTCGCTTTTCCATTCTTCGTTTGATTCTAAATAAAGATAAGCTCAAAATCACGCAGACGTAAAATTTGGAATATTGTAGTTTCAATGCTAAGCAATTAGCCTATCCAAGTTCTTTCTGCAATTAAATAACAGGCACTACATCCTGCACCTTTATAGCTAGAAGATTCAATCGTCATGTTTTTGCTCCATTTAATTTATCCGCTATGGGAAGTGCCAAGACTGCCCTGGAATGAAGAATGCACCCAACGATAAAATTGGATAACTTGTTGTAGAAAGACGAGCCATCAATTTGTCATTCCCTCACAAAGTCGCAGAATATAATGATAATTAAGAATGCTACTCTGACCTATTTGGTTGAAAAATGATGCTTTGTTGTTCTTAGGAGCTTCAGCTCTAAGTGGAGATTCACGAATTTGAAGTATGTCAATTAATTTATTGAAGCACAGCTTTTAAAGAAGGGATTACATGTTCTTTCAGCTATTAAGATTTAAAAAATCTTTGTGAAACAGGATTACAACCCATTCTAGGAAACACTAATCCATCAATTGCAGGTAAAAGAAAAAACGAATTCCCTCAAATGTGGGCCAGTGGCAATTAAGAATACTTTCATAGATTGATGCTGCCAGTTAAACATACCGGATAAGCATGTTTATTAAAAAAAACATGAATTGATTTCTTTTACCATACACAGAGAAAATAGGTAGTCAAAATATAATAGTGGAACATGAAAAATCTAGCTTCGTTGGGACCCACACCATTCAATGTAATAAGCAGCATACGGATAAAGTTAAAAGCACCATTACAATCACTGGTGGATCCCAACAGTTCATCATTTCATCGGACAGTGATGACTCCATATGACAATGAGTATACAGTAATCCATTGGACTTGGGGAAGGGCGTGTGTATGTATTCATGGGAGCCTGTGTGCCTGAGTGGAATATTTGGAATGCTTATGGCCTACTACTGTACAAGTTTGCCCAATGAGCAAAAACCTAGCTTGGGCCCAAATTCTGAAACCAACCTTACTCATCGCTACATTCAACATAAAAAAGAAAAAAATGATTTGGAGCTCTAGAAAGTTCATTTCAAGGAAGATTGGATTAGGAGAGCATGGAAATCCAAATTTCTTTTTGCTTTTTCTTTTTCCTGGGTGAAGTTTTGACTATATGAAGGTTGATTATTTGAAAATTTTCAGGCAAAACAAATGCCCTAGGTAAGACTTTGGCACTTGGGTTAACTTGTACAATTTAAGGCCACGGGCTTGCCAAATCCTTTCCCGAGCATACCAATTTTAATCCAAGTTGCCTAGATATAGATGATATGGATATGCGGAGCAGAGATCCAACTTGAAATTTCCCAAATTCCACAGCACATAAGGATAAGTATCCTATCAGATACATTGATAACAATATACTGTAACATAAATAACACATAAATGTTAATATACTACAGTGACATATTATTGATCTTAACCATATTCATATTAGATATAATACATATTTTTAAGGTAGGTAAGCAGGGTTTGAATTAAGAACCTCAAGTTGCAAGGAGAAGTATGGGTGTCCAACTCGGGGGATCATAAAAATACATTTTTAAATATATATATATATATATATATATATATATATA